AGGTGTCTAAAGTGTCCAGAACTTGATGAAACAGGGCCCAGGCCTGCCCACATCTTCTAAGGGCCTCTCAACCAGAGGGGCTTTTTAGGGGGTTCCCTGACACCTTTTGCCTTCACTTGGCCCTGGCTACACTCACCCCCACCAGCCACTTCCACTCCTTGCACAGTGCTCCAAGCAGCCCAACCTGCTTCTCCTCCCTGGGGAGGGCTCGCCATGCCACAGCTTTGTCTACGAAGTGCCTGTGGATCTCCGTGAAGTCACATTTGTCCAGGTGCTTGATGAGGCATCTCTCTTCTACTGTCAGTTCCTGTACCAAACAGAAGCATGTGCTCTCAGCATATGTGATACAGGCAAGTTTCTGTGGCATGGGGAACCCCAGGCTGGGAGCCTATTCCACAGGGCTGCCATGACATCACAGAAGCAGGGGCATTGGACTGTGGACAGAGAATGCTAAGGCCACTTCACCTGACCATCAGCCTCTATCTAGTACCTGTCAGGCCAGAGGCTCAGGTGGAGAGTGGTGAGTTGAGGTCCTAGTGCTTCCTCCCAGGAGTGCTCTGAATAAGCCACATGGCCTTGCCTGGCTGGGATTAGCACCAAACCCTCAGCCCCCATACAAAGATTGGGTACTTGCACACAGAGCACACTCAGGACTGACAAGAACTGTTAGGAATAGGATGTATCCTCAGCATAGCCCTTCAGATTCAAAGACCCTGACATGCATCCTCTGAGCCTGGTGCCTGCAGGAAATTACTGACATCACAAACACCACTTCCTTCCTCAGGTAAGGACACCTGCATCCCACACCACACTCCAGTTGAAAAAGACCCCTCTAGAGCTGAGTATGGTGGTGCAGACATAAAATCTCAGCACTCAGGAGGCTAAGACAGGAGAACTGCCACCAGTTCCAGGCCAGCTTGGGCTACATGGTGAGTTCAAGGCCAGCCTGAAGCACATAGCAAGACTCTGTCTCAAAAAAACAATGGGCAGGGGCCGAGGATTTAGCTCAGTGGTTTTGCCACTGCTACGCAAGCAAAAGGACCCAAGTTCGATCCCCGGTACCAAAAAAAAAAAAACAAACCAACAATGGACAAGGGATTTAGCTCAGTGCCACTGCACCTGCCTAGCAAACACAAGATCCTGAGTTTGATTCCGGGTACCACAAAACAAAACAAAATCTAAATGCAGACAGACCTAAAAGTAAAACCTAAAACGGTGAAACTTCTAGGGGGAAAATTTCAAGAAAAATCTTTGTGGCCATAGGTTAGATAAAGATTTCTGGGTCGGGGATTTAGCTCAGTGATTTCACCGCCCGCTGTGCAAGCATAAGGACCCAAGTTCGATCCCCGGTACCAAAAAAAAGAAACAAAGATTTGTTAGCTACAACACCGAAAGCACAATTCATAATAAGAAAATGATACACTGGATTTCAACAATATTAAAACTTCTCCCAGAGATATTTAGGAGAATAAGAATGTAGGCCACAGCTGGAGTGAAAATGGTTTGCAAATCATACCTCTGATAGAAACATAGATAGGACATAAAAATATTGATAAACTGAATAATTGATAAATTAACATTTTCTATTCAAAGTCAAAAAGCGGGCCAGGAATGTAGCTCAGTGGTACAGCATCTGCCTGACAAGTGGGAGTCCCTGAGTTCAATTCACAGTACCAAAAAAAAAAAAAAAAGGCAAAAACGACTGGGCATAGGGGTGCATGCCTAAAATCTCAGCACTCCAGAGGCTGAGGCAGGAGGATGCCTGTGAGTTTGAAGCCAGCCTGGGCTACATAATAAGTTCAAGGCCAGCCCGAACTGCAAAAAGTCTGCTAAACATACATCTGGCAAAAGCTTACCTCCAGGACATGCTTCAAAAGCTCCTACAAATTAGGAAAGAACAGGGAAGTGGCTCAATTTTTTTAAATAGATAAAAGTCCACACAAAAAGAGGCTTTGTATCATTGCCATCAGGGAAATGCAAATGACATCCACAGCAGGATGTGTCACAGACCGTAGGAGCCTTTGTACATGTGGTAGGCATGTAGACAGCTCAGCCTGGCGGTTTTCAGTAAGCCGGCCACACATGTGGCCTGTGACCCAAGTCTATGAGGGGATCTTCCAAGTGTCCATGAATCAACCCCCAAGGGGGAATCACACCAGTTTTAAACACAATGGCCAAAACTGAAAATGACCCAGTGTGATGAGTATGGACAGGGACAAGTGAACAGTATTCTTTCATATAACAGACTTGTGGAGATCCTTCACAAGTAGCATAAGGACAAGCACAGGTACTGAAAGAAACCCCGGGCAGAGTACAGGGACTTTTGCCAGAGGACACATATGAAACGCAGGCAGGATAGACATGGAGATTAGACCAGGCTCACATGTAACTCAGTTTTTAGAGGTCTGGAATATAATACAGTGGTACAGTGCTTGCCTACCATGTGCAAGGTCATGGGTTCAATACCCAAGACCACAAAAAATAAAAATGAGAAGACAGAAACCTAATACAACCACCTTCATCTTCACACCGAGTGTTTATTTTCTGGGGGAAGACCCTGCCCTTTCTGGCCTCCTTCAATCTCCCTGTTTCTTTTTTTAATCTCCCTCTTCTGAGAGCTGGACTCTGTCCTCAAGTTGCCCTGGGGCAAGATCACAGCAGATGTGGCTCTGCTCCCTCTGCCTCCCTTACCATAGGTCAGACTGGGCAAACATGGCCGGTACTGCCATCTGGACAGCTGCAGAGATGGCAGTGAGATTGGGATTGTGGGCCCTGGGGGGCCCAGCCAGCCACCACAGCCACCAGTAATGCAGACCTTTCGCCAGTCATTGAAGAAGTTGTTCTGGAAAACTTCCTTTGTTGTATACTCATGATCCAACATGTTCCCATAAAAAAGTAGCGACCTCTTCAGCTGCCAGGCTCAACTTCACAGGCTTTCCTGAAGATAGCCCAAGACCTCTAATGAAGGACAGGTCACAGGCTCACTCCCAGTCCACACAGTCCTCTTACTCTGCAGTGTGATTTAAAAGCCAGGCGCAAGGTGCTTCTGCCTCCTGAGGTGGGAAAGCCACATGGGACAGCGGTCTCTTGATGCTACTGCTGCTGTTTACCACTCCCAACCTGACAGGCATGTTCACCCCAGAGTCTGTCCCACCCCCACAAAAGGCCCAGCAGCAACCTCATGGCACCATCTCGAACTGACCCATAATAGCACCTTCTACTATGAGGAGGGTTTGGCATGCACATTGCTTTGCTTTCTGCCAGAGTACCCAGATGTAGAGGTTGGGTTGTGAAGACTCAGGTTAAGAAAAATTGACTTCACGTGACATCATGGTAGATGTGGGTGGTGAGTACAATCCTCAGAGAGACATTGAGTTCACTGTCCCTGGGAAGCTGTGGCAGGCCAAGCTAGGCTGTGCAGGACTCACTATCTGTACTTTGGGGACAAGCTATTGGCCCAGTTGCTGGGCACTAATGAAGAAGACAGCATGGTAGATGCTGTTTGACAAGATGTATGAGAACTTAATGGACAAGGCAGACACAGTGAACAATGGGATCTCCCAGTGGGAGGAGGAGCCTTGATATCCCCTAACCACTCATCTGAGTCCCCAACTTGCTGGACTTAATCCCACCTGGAACCAGCCCAAGCAAGACACTGAGGCAGGGTTCAGGGGTGCAAAGGATCTGGCTCAAGAGGAGTTTTTGCATAGACTCAATTGCTACCAGCACAGTTGGCTGCCAGCCTGGGGCTTGGTGAAAGAGGCCCTAGCTCAGCAATTCTAGGTGCACCCAAGTGGTGAGACAGTGGAACTGACAAAAAAGACAGATGCCCCTGGAAGAAGCACCTCTCCCATCTGCAGTCTGACCACTGCTTTTGTTACCTACACTGACAAGGCTGGACAGTGACGGAAGCAGTGCATGCCCATGGAGCCCCTCTCCTTACAGAGCCAGGGCAGGGGCTTTGGGATGAGGCCCTGGACCAGGTCAATGGAATCCCTGGATGCATCTTTGTCCATGCCAGTGGCTTTATTGGTGGGCACCGCACTCAAGAGGGTGCATTGAGCATGGTCCATGCCATGTTGGCCGAGTGCTCAGTACCTGCCACAAATCCTTTAGTCCAATCAAACTTTTTCCATCTTTAAAAAAAAAACAACACCAGCTGCAGTGAACTCGGGGAAACTTCCATGAGGGGTGGTCAGTTAGCCAGCTGTCCCTGGGGGTCCTGACTCTAAAGCCAGCTAAATGCATATATAATCAACCGGTTCTGCTGGGTGTGGTAGCATATGCCTGTAATTCCAGCACTCAGGAAGCTGAGACAGGAGGATCACTGTGAGATGGTGGGCAGCCTGAGCTACACAATGAGTTTAAGACCAGCCTAGAACACACAGCAGAACCCTGTCTCAAAAAGAAAGAAAGAAAGAAAGAAAGAAAGAAAGAAAGAAAGAAAGAAAGAAAGAAAGAAAGAAAGAAAGAAAGAAACTACTGGCTCCATTTCTTACTCAGGCAACACAACAGAGTCAAATAACTGTTACACACATGGACATTCGGACACATACAGCACATGCACACTCTGAAACCATGGGGAATATAGAGGCACCAGCACTCACCCACCATTGGTCCTGGGCACAGATATGCACAGCCAGGGTAGACTCAGGAGATCAAATGGACAGAGGGAAGCCTGGGACACCAGAGGTTGCTTACCCTGCCCTGCTGGATGCTAGTGAACACAACTGTCGCTGGAGGCTTCAACCCATGTCCCCGCTCCCCTGCAGCAGCCCTGGGGGCGGCCAGCAGACCCTCGCACTGCTGACAGCCTTGTACCCCACTTGTGGGAAGGCCAGTAGGTCTCAATGCACAGACGCCATACAGTAGAGCAGAGGCACAGTGGGCATGCAGTGACCAGCACAAGAGGGAACGGCCTTTCTTTTGAGTCCTACCGTCACAAAAGAAGCGCGTACTCCCTCAGGAAGCGGCTCATAGCCGGGGGCGAAGTATGGGCCTCTGTGTTCCAGCTGCCTCCACTTCACTCTGTCCTTGCTCCGCTTCTCTTCCCACCTGAAAAGACAGCAGGAAGAGGGCCGGCTGCCAAGTGCTGCCCACATGCGCCAGCCAGGGTCAGATTTCTGTTGACCCCCTGACTCCCCCACAAGCACTCGCATGTGGGCTCTGTGACCTGCACCTCACAGAGGAGGAAGACAAGGCCACAAAGGAGAGCAGTCCAGGGCCATCCTGCCAAGGAGTGCCACCCAGAATTGGCACATGGGGAGCTGCCAAGACAGACTGGCCAGCCTGGGTGAGTGGAAGGGTCCAGGAACACTCCTTTCCAAGGCTCAGGAGCCTCTCCAGGAAGGCCGCATTGGAGCTGGCCTAGAACTCTCTGGAACACTTGACAAGGTCCCACAGACCCCTCCACATGGCCACCTCACTTGGCAAGTCGAGAGTGGCTGTGACTGGAGAGCCCTTTCTTCAGTGAGCTGGGAGTTGTGGGGGACACAGGTGGTGCAGGGACAGGGACATACCTGCAGTCCCACAAGGGAGAGGCAGGGGAGGGGAACTGAGGACAAGGACCGAGGCAGGAAGCCTCTGGGGTGGGGCAGGGACAGCACCAACACAGTATTTCCCCAGGTGGTTCCCTGTGAGGCACCCCCCCCACACACTCTGTCCCCAGATCTTCCAAGGCCAGGGCATCCTCTCCCAGGAAAACCTCATCCCAGAGACAGTCGGACATGACCCAGTGTGAGGCCACACCAGGTCCTAACCCTGCTTCAGCTCGTCATCTGCTCATATAGGTCTTCCCTGGGTCACCGTCACTGCGCTAGGCCCAGGGACACACAGACACCAAGGAACTACAAGGAAGAAATAAGCTGAACCAGATCCTGAAACACCTAGAAGCCTGGAGGCAGGGCTCTCTGCCACCTGAGGCCCAGCTCTGTCACTATGGGCAAGAGGAGGGTCCCAACACAGGCAGCAGCAGCACCAAGGCCAGAGTGCACCACATGGAGGGGGCAGGAAGAGAGATGAACCACTTCTGCCCGGGCATAATGACCAATCCGATGCCTGGTCCTCAGAGCTTGGCAGCCCTCCTTCACTGGCTCTGGTAGCCTCAAATGAGTATCCCATGAATGGAAGGTCTAGTGGTATGAGAAGGGAAGGACCTGAGCAATAGACTTTTTTTTGGTATTGGGGATTGAACTTGGGACCTTGTGCTTGTGAGGCAGGCAGCAGAATCATTGAGCTAAATCCCCAGCCCGCAGTCGATATTTTGAAAGGGACTTTCTAACTTTCTGCAGAGAAGCACTAGGGAGGGTTAGGAGCAGCAGAGAGGGTGATTTGGGCAGAGCTGACAAGCTTCTAAGAAGCTGGTGGGATTAACCAGGAGTGGTACAGGTCCAGGCCCATAATCCCAGCACTGAGGGAGGCTGTGGCAAGAGGATCTCAAATTCAAGTCCCACCTGGCAAACTTAGCAAGACTCTGTCTAAAAAAAAAAGAGTGGGGGGCCAGGGATTTAGCTCAGTGGTTTCACCGCCTGCTGCACAAGTGCAAGGACCCAAGTTCAATCCCCGGTACCAAAAAAAAAAAAGAGTGGGGATTGGGGAACACCCCAGGGTTTGATCCCCATACCACAAAAAACAAAGCAAAAATACTGGTGGGCTTAAGGACATTCTAAAATAATATCAAGGAGCTCTTTGACTAACTGTGCTGTGTATAAGTGCTCTGAGGGATGCTGGGAGAGGAAGGCAGGTAGGGCAGGGCCCTGAACCACAGGCCAGCCATTAGTCTTGCCCTAAGGCCAGAAGCTGCAGGCACAGGAGTCCTACCCAGGAAGTGAAGAATTGAGCTGGCCTCGAAAGTGTTCTCACAGCACAGGGGCCAGAATCTGGAAGCTTGCGGGGAGGAAGGGGTCCTGTATAACAGGTGGGTGGGGAGGTAGGGTGCTGCAAAGCTGACTGGGGAAATAACCAGGACCTGTCAATTACAAGATCCCAGGACAGTGCCAAGTAATTCCCAGGACCCCATATGTTGAATTTCTTGCTGCTCCCATGAGATATGAACAACAGAAAAGGACACAGACACCAGGAACCACCTGCTATGGTGACTCTTCACGGTAGGCAACTCTGTCTTCTAGACCAGGGTACACTTTTATTTTTGCTCTTTTTCACCTTTCCTCTTGTTTGGGTCAAGTTTGCTCTGTAGAGCCAGCTTTTCCCTTATCCCTTCACTTTTCAAATAAACTTTTGGCACTGTTTTTGGCTTGTATCATTCAATTCTTTGCTCGAGGCAAGAAAGACCTGGAATACGTTTAATTGTGTGAGGTATTTCTAAAAGAAACTACCTGAAAAACTGGAGGAGGTATCCACTGAATCCAAAGGTCTTCACAGGTCAAACAGGGACAGTGCCATTTATTTCAAGGTTCTATGGTATTAAATAGCTCCGCCTACTTTATTCCAGCATACCAGGGTGGCACCAACAGCAGGATGCACATGAGGTGCCACTAAAAATTAAACTAAGATGCTTTCTCATAGATCCACCAAAGAGTCATCCCGGCTCCAGAGTGTGAGGAAATGTGAAAAGCATGAATCTTTGAACTGACAGTAACGCTGACTATACAAGTTTGTCACTAAAGCCACTAGGTAGATTCTGCCAGCACCCCCATTTCCCAGACAAGGACACTGAAATCAAGGTTGAACAAGTTGCTGGCCAACAGCTGAGCAGGGTGTGAGGTGCTGCATTGTGGTGACTGTCATTTAGCTGTCCCTTCAGACAGGGATACCAAGCATTGCCATCAGAAGCAAGTCCCTGCCCCCTTAACACGCCTGTGCAACCAGACGCCCCTGCTCCTTCTGAAGCATCTGCCTGCACCTTTGGAGGGAAGAGCACCATCTTGGATAGCCACCCAGCCCGGCAGGACTGGAAGCAGTGGCCTCCCACCCACCCTGAGGCCCTGAGCTGCATTAGCAGAGGCTGTAGTGACAGCCTACCCAGAGAGGGCTGTCACCAATGTGAGCACCTGCTAAAACACCACGCTCTGAGCACTAAGTGACAGCCAATAAACTCCACTGGCCATAGGGACTCTTGAGGTAACCTCCCTGTGCAGGCAGTGAGGCTGGGACTTGGAAGAGCAGCATCTCAACCACATTCCCAGGCCCAATAACAAGCCGGCAAGCGAGAGACCTGTGCAATGGAAGCTGTGACCCCAGGTCAGTGAGCGCAGGCACGGTAGGAGAATCGCTAGGAACCCCAGAATCCAGACTCTCAGACTAGTTCTAAACCCAAGAGGCAGCACAGAGGCCTAGGCATAGCCACAGGGATGCGCGGGGAGCGCAGGGCCTGTCACCCTGGGCCGGACTTGGTTTCAGGATTCGGCGGATCACTATACGTGGTGTGGTGCTGTTGCCCTTCAAGTTACCGGAGATTTTGGTTCGGTGACCGAAGAACATGCGCCCCTCCTGTAGGTTAGTACCCGATTCGTACTCCGCTCTGCTCTGGCCCACTTGCCCGCCTTACCCAGCTCCGCCGGCCTTTGGCTTGGTCTCTGAGGCCCAGCGGCAGGGAATGTTCCGGAGCCGCAAGCGCACAGCCCTGCGCAGCCCCAGCAGCACGCCAGCCTTCATCCGCTCTGGGACTCTGCTCCTAGGGAAGCGAGGCGGCGGGCCCGCCCCAGCCCCGCCTACCCCTCCCTCCGGAACCCACCCACCCGTTCCCCCAATCCGCCTACCGCCACGCCCTCTGACAGAGCCCCACCCAACCCCATCCAGGCCCCACCCACCGCCAGAGTCCCGCCCCAGGGCCGGAAAGCGGAAGGCGCTCAGCCCTGCCCCTCTATCCCAGCGCCTATCCCGGGAAGCGACTGCACCTGGCAGGTCCTTTCCAGGCAAGGAGAAGGGACTCCACTTGTTCAGAGGTCCCTGACTCATTACATAATTCAGGCTGAGTAGCAAAACATACCAAATGCCAGCGCTTCCAGGAGGACACAACCCGCGGATGTCAGCTTGACTAGCCTAATTCAGCCTCCGGGGGTGACAGGACAGATTCAATGGAAGTTCTGTAGAACAATCTTCCCTGACCAGCCCCTCATCCCAAGGACAGGCCGGTTACAATTGGAGCCTCCTTTCCCATTCGAGGTCTCAGGATGACCATGCTGGCCTGGCGTCCTCCTGGGCAGCATGGCCAAGTTGCCAAACCTCTACACCAGCAGCCAGCTGTACCGACCCACCTCCCAGAGCTGTACAGCCTTGATATTTGACTGTAAGATGATGATACAAAGTCAGCGGAAAGTAGGTGAACTCACACACTAGGAGGAACACGGTGGAGACAGGCAGGAAGGACCAGGGAAGCCTGTCAGGACCCTCGGACTTCCACCAGTTTATTTGGTTTGCACTGACATCTAGTGGCTGGAGGCACAAAAGCAGATCCTTGGCTGCACCGGGCTGCCCTTGCTGGCTGCAGGATCCATGCAGCCCTGCAGCTGTCCCTGTCATCTCAGAATGGGCAACGCATCTGCTGCATGGGGACACAGAATAGACACTGACAGCTACCTCTGCCAGGTGCTGCGGAAAGGCTGCATGTGTCGTTTCTCACAGTCCTTTTTTTTTTTTCTTCCGGTACCTACCGCGGATTGAATTTGGGACCTTGAGCTTTCGAGGCAGATGATGGAACCACTGAGCTAAATCCCGGCCCTTACAGTCCTTTCTACAAAGTAGGAAGACATTCCAGCAAAGGGCCATCACTGCTTCACCCCGAGACTGAAGCCCCTGTGTCTCCACTTCAGGCTCCTCAGGTTTTGCAAGAGGTATGGCAGAATGAAATCCTCTTAACTCTCCAGCCACAGAAAATACATCTGATAAAACCCAACATGCTGGCATGATGAACAATAAGAAAAAACACAAAAAAACCACAATCTAGGAATGGAAGAGCCTTCCTCCATCCAATAACAATAAAAACTCCACAGCGAAGTGAAGGACTAGATGCTTCCTCAGGTCAGGAACGAGATCAGGATGTCATTCTCACCACTGCTGCTCAACACTATACCAAGGTCCTAACTCAAGTGGGCAAGCAAAGGAAAGAAAAGGATCAGGTTGGGCTGGAGATTTAGCTCAGTGGCACCACACCTGCCTTGCAAGCACAAGGTCCTGAGTTTGATCCCCGGTACCCCCCATTAAAAAGGATCCAGGCAGAGCCAGGGATTTAGCTCAGCAGTTTCGCCACCTGCTGTGTAAGTACAAGGACCCAAGTTCGATCCTGATCCCTGGTACCAAAACAAAAAGGATCCAGGTGAGATAGGAAGACCTAAATTGTCTCTATCTGTAGATGGCATAGTCCTGTGTTTAGGAAATCCCGAAGAATCCACAAAAAATAAATAGAACCAATAAATAAACCCAGCCACAATTACAGGATACAAGAGCAATACATGAACATCAGTTTTGTTTCTTTATATCACAATGAAGAGTGCAAAAAGATCTGAACAAATACTTCTCCCAAGGCAATATCTAAATGGCCAATAATTCCATAAAAAGATTTTCTGTACCACCAGTCATTAGGGTAAGGCAATCAAACCCACAAAGGTACTGCTTTGTACCAGGATGGCTGCAGTCCAAGTGCTGGGGCTGGAGGTGGGGTGTGATAAAGGAAGACCCTCTCTCCTCTTCAGAGTTCTCTTTCTTTGCCCTCTGATGCCTTTATTTCCCACACAGTTTTGGCTATCCTGGCCAAGGGTATACACAGCTGTCCTCCTGCCAGGTGCTACCTTTTTTTTTGGTACCAGAGATCAAACTTAGGACCTTGCACTTTTGAGGCAGGGGGCAGAACCACTGAGCTAAATCCTCAGCCCTGGGTGCTACCTTTGATGCTATCTGTCTTGTGTTCTGCTCTTGGGCCTTGGGGCCTGGCCTAGCAGAGGAACCTTCTTATCCCCTTTATCTTGACTCTAGAACCTACACTGGGCCTTGGGACCTGGCCCAGAACAGAGAGAACACACTGTGAATAGTGGCACCCATGGGCTGTGCCCACCCTGAGACCCCTCAAGAAAGAGGAGGAAGGTGGAACAGCACCCCCATAACCCTCACCAAGACCATCCCACACTACAGGCCTCCCGTCAGAAGGACAGACAAACCAGGGCCATGTGGTTCTAATAAATGCTTCCAAATGAACTCTGGAACATGGCTTCTTGGCCTCTGCCCAGGGCAGGGACTGACAATAAGCAAAAGTCCCAGTTTAGGGCCACTCTGAGATCCAGGCAGGCATACATCATGCCAGGTCATGCTGTCAGCACCAAGCCTGGCCCAGGCACAAAAGCCACACAGAAGGACACTATAACGTCTAGGGAGGGTTGTATACCATGCCACTCTATGCTATGCTGTAATGTGTCCAGGGATGGATCCTAAGCCACTGCTCTGGATCACAGCTCCCAGTGATCCTAAACCCAGTGTTGTGAAATACTAAAGAAGCAGTTTAAAATAAGACAATTTATTTGAAGATGGGGAAGGAGGAGGAAGAGAGAGATGACAAACAGCTACTCTGAACAAGTAGGGAGAATTCAAAAGTGAATTGCTCAGGATTTCTTGTCTGCAGCTCCTTTTGTTGAGATTCTTGTCCCCTGTAGGCTTCTGGAATCTGATTGGCTCCCCAGTTTGTCTTTCATCCTAATCTTGAATTTCTTCTGGGATTCTTTGCTGTTTTTGTTGTTGTTTTTGAGACAAGGTCTCATTATGTAGTTCAGTTCTTGAATTTCTTCTGGCCAGGACTTTTCCTTGTTCTTTGGTGAAGGGTAAGATTATAGATGGGAGACTTATGCTCAGGTAGTTTAGGTTTAAGGATTAAGTTAAGGGGAAGTTTGTGATTCTTATGTTAATCAAGCTACCTGGGAACTTCCCAGACCTGAGTTTCTTCCTCGTTCTTTTTGCCATTTTTTTTTTTTTTTTGGTACTGGGAATTGAACTCAGGGCCTTGCACTTGCCAGGCAGGCATGTGCCACTGAGCTACATTTCTGCTCCTGCCTTTGTCTTTCTAATTGCTCGAGTCTAGCTATCTTTGGCTTTCTAATTACTGGAGTCTGGCTGCAGAGGTCAAAACTGCCTTATTAATTTTTAATAAAGCTCAATGAGGTCTTCATCCTGTCTTTTCCCTACCTGTCCCCCTACCCCTGTCCCTACAACACCAGGGGAAAGAGTGGTCCCAATGCCACCTTGACATCCAGGAACTACCAACTTATTTCACTATGAAATCCCATTAGGAAACCAGACACTATGACCACCTGCTCTCCTCATGGTCTTGCCAGCAGCTCTCGTCATGCCTGAATTCTCAGGAAGTTGCTCTTTGGAATCATGCTTATGTTTCATTGTTGACTGAGATATTTACCTGGCTTTTTTTCATGGGATGGCTTTTTATGGGTTCTCGGCCCTTATCAGCTTGTTGATCCATGCATAGCTAGAAGACAAAGTCACAAATAAACATAAATCTGCTGTTTACCTTGTAGGGACAGGGGGGCCCCATAGGTAGGGAAAAGATAGGATGAAGGTCTCACTGAGCTATATTAAAAATTAATAGAGAATTCTAAAGGCAGTTTCTGCCTCTGCAGCTAGACTCAAACAATCAGACAAAGGCTAAAAGGGAGAAACCAGGCCATGGAAGATCCCAAGTAGCATAATTAACATAAGAATTGTACACTTCCCCTTTACTTAATCCTTAAACCTAAACTACCTTTCCATACCCCACCCCCCTTATCTACCACCAAAGACAGGGAAAAGTCTTAGGGCCAGAAGAAATCCAAGGTTAGGGTCAAAGACAGCCAGGGAGCAATCAGATTCCAGGACCCTGCATGGGGAGAAGGACCCCAATAAAAGGAGCTAGAGAAAAAAATCCTGAGGCATCCACTTTAGAATGTTCCCCATTCCTCCAGAGTAGCTGTCTGTCATCTCTCTCTTTCCCCTTCCCCCACCTTCAAATAAATCGTCTTCTTTTATTTTAAACTCTGCTTCTTTAATTATTTACTGATGCTGGGTTTAGGATCACAGGAGCTGCATTTTCCAGCACACCAGTGGCTTGCCATCCACCCCTGAACCCCTGCTATTTTAAAAACGAGACAGGCCTAGTGGCACATGCCTATAATCCCAGCATTCAGGAAGTTGAGGCAGGAGGATTGCCCTAAATTCAAGGTCAGCCAGGGAGTTCAAGGCCAGCCTGCACTGCAAAGCAAGACCCTGTCTCTTAAAACCAAAAAAAAAAAAAAAAAAAGAGGAAAAGATTTGAAATAAGCTTGCAGAAGTCTCCCATCTTTTTAATGGGCTTTTTTCTCCTTATTATGAAGTATACTTGGAAAGTAAAAACAGATCCAGAAGTAGGACACGGCAAGCCTGCCCAATCCCAACACAGAACACTTGTGGCTGTGACAACAGCAGGCAATAGTATTATAGGCAGCAAAATTATGTAAAGATTAATTCAGTCAGAGACTGGGTTCTCAAGGAAGTCAGTGAAAGTAGAGACATCAGACTTGTGGCTGGAGGTGCAATTGAAGAAGGCAAGGACTCAAAATTAAAATCACAGGGCTGGGGATTTAGCTCAGTGATGCTGCACCTGCCTTGCAAGCTCAAGGTCCTAAATTCAATCCCCAATATCGCCCCCCCCCAAATGATTAAAATCACATCCCTTCCCTAAGGGATGAATGGGAACTTGATATTATACTATAATTGGTACCACCCAGCCCATTAAGAACAGATATATGGGGTGGGGATTTAGCTCAGTGGTTCTGCCGCCTGAGCGCAAGGACCCAAGTTCGATCCCCTTCGATCCCCGGTAACAAAAAAAAAACTTCTCCAAAAATTTGTCATGGGCTAGGTCTGAGGGTCCCTGAGGCTGAAATAAGGAATTTAACCAACCCCTTTAAAATAAGTATGCAGAGCTGGGTGAGATGGCACATGCCTGTAATCCCAGCACTTAAAGAGGCTGAGTCAGGCAGATCACTGTGAGTTCGAGGCCAGCCTGGGGCTGCATAGTTACATAGTGTGTTCAAGGCCAGTTTGAACTGCATAGCAAGACCCTGTCTCAAAAAAAAAAAAAAAAAAAAAAGGGCAGGGGATTTAGCTCAGTGGTTTCGCTGCCTGCTGCACAAGCACAAGGACCCAAGTTCGATCCCCAGTACCACAAAAAAAAAAAGTATGCAGCTTCGCTGACTCCTGTCTCTGAAAAAGAATTTTCAGGACACCTCACTAAAAAGAGGCATGAGAAAAATTTATTAGAGGAAGATATAGCATACACTCAAGAGTGGTATACGGGTGCTCAAGAAAATGA